ACATCTCCCCAGGAATAGTGTCACACACAAGTCCATACTGGGGGCTCTGTCATAGATGCATGCTATCTCATTTGCCAAACAGCTACTAAGCTCTAGGGAACAGGAACACAAAAGAGAGCAGGACACGGGTCCTCTGTCTGGAGGAGATGGATGCCTGCTGGGGGCTGTCTTGATGGCAGACATCTGTCAACTTTCGATGACAAGAATTCTGTTCTCTTTACACATATCATCCTCAAAGTCCACACAGACACTGCACCCTCAGGAAAACCTTGTCTCCTCAAAAATTATTTTAATAAATAATGCCACCCCATCCCTCTCTGGTTGGTGCTACAGGGATTAAGGAGACACTGTTGTCATACAGCCTTGTCCCTGTGTGGCCCTCTCTAGGGAAGGAGGCCAGGTTAGTAGTCAGGGAGAGAGAAAGATCCTTGGTCTGAGCTGTATCCAAGCCTGCTATCGTGGCTGAGACAGAACTTAGGATTCCAGCAAATAAAATGAGACCTTTGGAACTGGCTGGGTGGAATGCATGCAAACCCAGCTTAGATTTGCATGTGGCCATGGGAAATCCACCAGACTGAACCCCTCTGTGTGTACCACCCTGCCAGCCAGCACCGCAAAGTTCCAGCTGCTGTGTAGGAAGAAGACTGCCAGGCATGGGGAGGCCTGACAGAGTCTGCAGTACAGACTGGGATGTGTGTCTGGGTCTGCTCTGCAGAGGCCTGACAAACAGGGAAACCCAGGCTCTGAATTCCACTGCCACCTATCGTTGTGTGACCCTCTAGCTCTGTGTGGCTAGGGACTTCCACTTGCTTGGAACGTCTGTCTCTGTAGTTACAAAATAAGCAACAAACATCGCTGCTGGGGCAGATGCAGCTTTACCAGAAGAGGAATGTTACGCGGGAGAGGAAGAGGAGGAAGGAAGGGTATACGACAACGAAGGCAGTGACACTGACCACAGGCAGTATGTGAAGGTCCATGTGAGTGAGGAGGACCACAGCAGAACCCACAGGATGAGTCTGCCCATGGAGATGGGGACTTGCAGAGGGAGAAGATGGCTTTAGGGTGGGCATAACTAAGGGTCACCATTTCCAGCTGTTCTGAAGAAAGATCATTCATGAGATACACTGCTGGCAAGATGAAGGAGATAGGGGTCTCCCTGGCTCTGTCTGGGGAGGCCTGGAAGGAGTCTGGGTACAGGGTGAGGTCATAGAAGGAGGACTCCAAAAGCAAGTCTGGTGGTGCACAGTTGTCTATCTCAGCTACTCCTGTGCATAAGGCTGAGACAGGAGGATCCCGAATTCAAGGCCAGCCTGGGCAATTTTGTGAGACCCCGTCTGAAAATAAAAAGTAAACAGAAGGCTGGGGTGTGGCTCAGTGGTAGAGCACTTGCCTTGAACCCTCCAGTGAGGGGCTAGGGGTGTGGCTCAGTGGTAGAGCATCTTCTTAGAATCCCCCAGTGGGGGCCTGGGATGTGGCTCAGTGATAGAGCAGCTGCCTAGAATCCCCCAGTGAGGGGCTGTGGTGTGGCTCAGTGATAGAGCAGCTGCCTAGAATCCCCCAGTGAGGGGCTGGGGTGTGGCTCAGTGGTAGAGCACCCTCCTAGAATCCCCCAGTGAGGGGCTGGGGTGTGGCTCAGTGATAGAGCAGCTGCCTAGAATCCTCCAGTGAGGGGCTGTGGTGTGGCTCAGTGGTAGAGCACCTGCCTAGAATCTGCCAGTGAGGGACTGTGGTATGTCTCAGTGGTAGAGCAGCTGCCTAGAATCCCCCAGTGAGGGGTTGTGGTGTGGCTCAGTGGTAGAGCTCCTGCCTAGAATCTGCCAGTGAGGGGCTGGGGGCATAGCTCAGTGGTTCTAGGCACCTGCCTAGAATCCATGAGATCCTGGGTTCCATCCCCAGTAGCAAAACAATTTTTTTTAAAGGAAGACTCCTGGTTTGAGTTCAAAGGTTATGTTGTGTGCTGGTGAGCCCCTCAAATGTAGACAATGTGTGTGGGATAAAAATCCAGCCCTACAAGCATTCCAAATGGCAGATAAACTGGGAGATGGTACTTGGCCCATTTGGCAGGGTTTAGGGGCAATATGGAGCCAGTACAGCTGTGTCTTCCCAGCAGAGGTAGCCTGCAGCAAGGTGAGGTTACCCAGGACTGGGGAGTTGGGACTTTATCCTGAATGCAGCAGGAGCCCTGTGGGTCTCCCAGGGAGTGATCTGATCCAGTGCCACCTGAGGGAGTCAGCATTGCTGCTAGTGTAGGGAAAGGCTGAGGAAGGAAAATGTGGAAGCAGGGCTGAGGAGGCAGCTAGGTGGTCCTGCTCACAAGTAACAGTCGGGGGAAGAAGGGACAGGTGTGGGGGAACCTGGAAACCCCGAGGGCTAGGGATGCTGCTGCTTGGGTGGATAGAGTGGAGGGAATGGGGACTGTTTCCAGACTGTGACCTGAGTGATGAAGAAACCGAGCTGCAGTGAATAGGATAGAAACGGCTGGGAGAGGAAGGGCAAACAGGGTCAGGGCTAAAACGATGGCAATGCCAGTTAAAAGCAGCCATGTCTGTGTGATGATCAGGTAGGGGTGTGAAGCCAGTGGGGTGGGTTCTGAGGCAGGAGAGAGAGACCGGGACAGTGATGGGGACAGGGGAAAGAAGGGAGCCCCTCACCCTGGAGTCTAGTTGAAACTTCTCCCTGGCTGAGAATCAAGAATTCCAACACAGTTACTATCTGTTGTGAAGGTTGCCAAAAAAGACAACTCTCTTTTTATATAGGAATATCTCAAAGAAGAATAGTAAAACAGTAAGGAGCCAGGCTTAAAGTATGAGTGTGCATGGCTCAGACATTTTTCTGGGAATCTCAAAGACTATTACCTTTTTTTTTTTTTTTTTACAGTGAAGCCACCAGGGGATGGAGGGATGGCTCAGTGGTTAAGAGCACTCACTGCTTTTGCAGAGGACCTAGGTTCAGTTCCCAGCACCCAGATGGTGGCCAGTAGCCATCTATAATTCCAGTTCCAGGAGATCCAACGCCCATTTCTGGTCTCCTTGGGCATTTCACACATGTGGTGCACTTACATACATATAAGCACTCATACTCATACAAAAAGACCACTGGCAGGACACCTTTGAAAAAAGATGCCCAACCTTCATACATCCCTGAAAGGTAGCTTTTTGCTTTATCAATTGCAATCCTGTCAGGTGCCCTCAGGACCCACTATGCCATCTCATTTAGGTTCCTTAGCAACCATTTGAAGATGATATCATCAAACTCACCAAAATCCTCCACATTACTGTTGTGAAGACAAAGATGGGTGACCCTTTTTTGAGAAGCCCACACCCATGCCCAGGATGTGTCTTTCCTTCATCACGAGCCCTTCTCTTTCTCCTAACCTTCTTACTTAAAGTATATATTAAAAACTCTTAATAAACAGAAACTCTGCTTCATACTGACCCGACTTCTGCAGTGAAGTCAAGAGTTCAGCTTGCCGTGAGTCGAGGTCCGCAAAAGATTAAGGGGACTCCTCAGGCTGCTGCAGGTGTCAGCAACTAGATTCCTGCCACTGCTAACAGTTCTACTCCTGGAAGCGTGCATCACCAAGGAAAAGATGCCCTGACATGTCACAAGGGCTCAGGAGAGATGGAAGGAGGAAAAGTGAAAGGACCAAACTGACTCCATTTTATTCCACCTGCCTTTGCTCACCCTGTGTTTCTGCCTAGCTGCTGCCCCTGCTCCCACTAACTGCAGCCAGGAAGAACGGTCACAAGGAGGCTGCACCTGCAGTTCCCTGCAGTTTCAGTGAGTGCACTGTTTCTACAATACTGGAAAATTTAATACCAGTCAGGCAGAACATTCTCTCCCAGCAATACCTGCAGCTCCAGGAAGCCCATTGTTTCTGCAATTTTGAGAAACTTGTTTTTCCTAACTGAAACTTAGAAACTTTTTGTTCGTTGAAAACCTCTTTGTTAACCTGGCCTGCCCCTGGTCTGATGTAACTATGGTGAGCTGATGTAACTATGGTTATTGGCTTTGTCCCTGGCTTGATGTAATTGTGGTTTTAAGCTTTGTAAACCCTTATCTGCCTCTCTTCGAGGTCAAGAGTTCTTTTGAGTATTAGTCCCCTCTTGACTGTCCGCTAATCATTAAAGGGACTCTTAATTTGATCGTCACTATGTGGCATTCTTCTGTGCTTTGCTCTTGGTATTACAAAAGGAGGAATGATCAGATAAAGGTCAATGGAGGTGAGTGGGGAGGACAGCCTGGCTGGAGGGAAGCCAAGGCTACTTAATGAAGTGGGTTGGAGGGCAGCTGAGAGGTGGAGGCAGGAAGGGAACTCTGGGGCTGTTTCCTACTGAACACCACATCTACACCAGAGAAAAATGGTAGAGGCACTTTCATATGGTGTCTTATAAAGACATACCCATGCTCTGTGTTGCAGAAAGGAATTGGCACATGCATACTATTACTAGCTCAGCATATATGCACTGTTGATGATTTATTCTGAGTTGACCCCACCCAGCCCAGAGGCCCCAGGCAGAGAACCAGGTTGATACCAGCAGACACTAATTTGATTCAGATGTTTAAGAAGTTCCTGAGCTCAGAATCCACAGAGTTGGGGAAGAATACAGGGTGTGAAGATAAGAGATGCACTGACATTGCAAGTCTCAGAAACCTGAGTGACACCAGAGAAGACTGAACTCTAGGACGATTGACTGCCTTTGCTCCCACCCCCTTCCCCTCATTGAATCTGTTGACCAGAGATGAGATGTAGACAGAAATTTAGAATGTTATTGATCCTAGCACCAGGATCAATAAATGATCCTGTCTCAACAGAATAAGGTGGAGGGTGATAGAGCAGGACAGCCGATGTTCTCTGGCCTCTGAATGCTAATAGGTACAGGCACACCCACACATACCTGTGTATACCACACACCACACTGAAACGCACACACACACACACACACACACACACGAAATTTGTATTCTGTTCTGAGTAGCAGTTCCATTTTGGTACTTACTATTTTCAGAGAGTTCCACGATGTAGTAAAGGACTGGGCTGTTTCCATCAAAGGGCCGAACCCAGGACAGTGTCACCGAGTGGCTGCGTGAGGAGCTCAAGCCAGCCAGGAGGTTTTGAGGTGGGTGAGGCAGCTCACTGGAAGGAAGGAAGGAAAACGGACAAGAAGAAAATGATATCAGACTGACGGGCTGTCTTGTGCCTACGAGAGCGGGAGTGTGGTGTTTGGGTGGTGATTCTCTTGTGGTTCCAAAGGAGAAAACAAAGCCCAACTGTATCACTCACGGTATTATTTGCACATAATTCGATTTAATCCCTCTGGTTCTGCAACCACCACTGTAACTTCAATGGGGGCCATGGGTGCACCAATTTTTATGCATATTTTTTAGGGGTGTGTGTGTGTGTGTGTGTGCGTGTGTGTGTGTGTGTGTGTGTAGGCCAGAGGTCTATCTATGATGGCCAGTTTTGACTTCACACAACTTAGAATTACCTGGGGACAGTGTCAGTGAAGGAGTGTCTAGGTCAGCATCCCGAAGGCATGACTATGAGGGATCGTCTTGACTGCCTTATTGATGTGGGAAGACCCATGGCACTGTGGGAGGCACCGTTCTCTGGGTTAGGGGTCTGGATTGCGCACAAGTAAAGAAAGCGAGCTGAGCACTAAGCATGCATACATTCCTTTCTCTCTACTTTTGACTGTGGAAGTGACTGACTGCTCCAAGTTCCTGTCACCTTGACTTCTCCTCAGTAATGGGCTATAATCTGGAATTGTGATATAAAATAAACCCTTTATCCTCTAAGTTGTTGTGGTGGTTTGAATGAGAAGTGTATTTAAACACTTGGCATATGGTCCCCAGTTGGGGTGGTCATAGAATTCCAGAGGGGTTCCTTGCTGGAGGAGGCATGTCACTAGAAATGGGCTTTGAGAGCCCACTTGGATCTCTCTCCTCTCTCTCTCTCTCTCTCTCTCTCTCTCTCTCTCTCTCTCTCTCTCTCTCTCTCTTTTTTGTGTTTGCTATTAAAAACATGATCTCTCCACTCTCCGCTTCTTTTCCTCCTCTCTCCTCAACTTCCGCCACCCAGAGTCCCATTGAAAACATGAGTTCTCAGCACTCTGCTCCTGTTACCCTTCTCTCTTAACCTTCTGCAACCATAAGCCTGAATGAACCCTTCCTTCTGTAGGCTGCCTCAATCATGGGTGTTTTATCATAGCAACAGAAAACTGATACAGCTGCTTTTCATCAGGGTATTTTTTTCATAGCAATGGAAAAGAAACTAAAACCAGGGGTCTTTGTCAATTATTCTCCAGGTTATTTTTTGAAGCAGGGTTTCTCACTGAACCTGGAGCTTACTTGGAACTTGCTGGCTGGCCTGTCTCCACCTCCCCAGTATTAGGATTACAGGTATGTACCACTGCACCCAGATTTTTACATAGCTGCTTGAAACCAAACTTGTGTCCTCAACACTTGCATAGTGAGGTGACTTAGTCATCTCCCCAGTCCCTGCATTATATTATTTAATAGGCAAAACTTGGTAAATGGCTTGTCTTTGGTCATGGAAATGCAATGAGCTCTATAGAGAGGAAAACTGGCAGTAAGGATTAGGTGTGAGAGTTTCCACACTTGCCCCTATGCCTTCTTAGACAAACAGAGCCAGCTCATTTATCAGTGGTGTGGGGTTATACTGCTGTTCTTCTGTTGAGCAGTCAAAGTTTGGGGGAGTACCTGAAGAGGAAGTGGGAGAACGTGAACTAAATGTTGTGGAAATGGTAAAGAATACACATGCAAGGCTGTCCAATGGAAATACAATGATAGCAAATAAAGTCCACAAAGAAAGAGTTTTCACTGGGGTTTACTGTTGACAGAGCTGCAAGTCTCTACCTTGACATTCGAAGCTGCGTCAGTCTAGTGTTCAACCTTACATCTCCAGGACTTGGGAGGGGAGCCTGCTCTGTAGTCAATTCTGCATGGTGGCCCCCTTCCATAAATACACCCAGGCAGAGCAGGGGGTGCTAGGCATGACCTGTGTCAGTAATTAGTTCTGGGTCTCTCTTGGACATCAGTTACTGGGGATCCATATAGTTCAGAACAAAAGGCTGTCATTATACTTGATAATTTTGTTTTGGTTTTGCTTTATACTTATTTATAGACAGTGTCTGTCAATGTAACCCTGGCTAACCTGGAACTTACTGCTAGGTTAGCCTTGAACTTGCTGTGATCTCCTACATCTGTTTTGTTAAGTGATGGATGAGATTTCAGGAATGCACTACCATGCCCCATTCTACACTTCTTCTGTGTGTCTGTGTGTGTGCACATGTTCCTGTGTGTGTGCATGTGGGGTTAGAGGTCAAAGTTCAGTGTCATCCTCAATTACTCTCCACCTTATTTTATTATTATTATTATTATTATTATTATTATTAGTTTTTGAGATAGGGTCTTCCTGTAGCCCCAGCTGGCCTGGAACTTGACCAGGCTGGTCTCAGTCTCACAGAGATCTACTTGTTTCTACCTCCAGAGTGCTGGGATTAAAGTCATATACCACCATGCTTGGCTATTTTTTTGAATTTAATTTTTCTATGTGTATGAGTGTTTTGCCTGCATGTTTGTAAGTGCAATGCCTGCACATGCAATCCCTGTGCAGAAGTCAGAAGAGGACATCGGCTCCCCTGGAACTGGAGTTAGAGACAATTATTAGCTGCCATGTAGGTTCTGGGAACCAAACCCAGATCGTCTGCATGAGCAGCCAGTGCTCTTAACTACTGAGCCATCTCTCCAGCCCTCCACCTTATTTTTGGAGGCAGAGTCTTTCCTGAACTGAAGGTTTACCAATTTGGCTAGACTATCTGGCCAGCAAGCCCCTGGGATTGTCCTGTCTCTATCTGGTATCACAAGCACATGCTGCCCTGCTTTTTTTTTTGAGACAGGGTCTCACTATGTAGCCCTGTCTGGTTTGGAACTCACTGTGTAGAACAAGTTGGCCTTGAACTCACATGGATCCACCTGTCTCTGCCTCCTGAGTGCTGGGACTGAAGGTGTGTGCCACTGCACCCAGCCATGCTCGGGCTTTTTGGTGGATGCTGGGGATCAGAGTTCAGGTTCTTCATACTTGCACAGCAAGCACTTTCCCATTGAGCCATCTCCTCAGTCCTATACTTGCTATCTTTAATTTAAAAAATGCACTCATGGGCTGAGTGCTATAACTCCATGGCAGAGCACTTCCTGGCAGGCACAAGGCCCTGGGTTCCATCCCCAGCACTGCCAAAAAGGGCACTTATTCTATTTTTAAATTTATGAAGCTGTTTGCCCCCCCCCCCCGCTACAAAAGAAACAGCTCTCTCACCCACGTACTAGTTTCTAAGCAAATGAATATTTCTCTTGGAAACTGTGACTACTCTGTATATTAGCAAAAGAAAGAAGACATTTCAGCCTGAAATGTCTTGCTTTCCTTAGCTGTGAATTGTTTTAAATCAGAGAAGGGGCTGTTATTTTTATTTGAGCTCTCCAATACTCTAACTTCCATTAGATTTCCAAATAAAGACCACAAAATGGAAAGGCCAGGATGAAAATATCTCCTCCTCCTCTCCCAAGCTCCGTTTCCTTTTATTTCACCAAGTTGGAATTGGTTTGGTCTAAAACAAAGTGAAAGTTGTTGAATGGTCTCAACTAGAATCACACGTATTCATTACTTTCCTTGTTGCCATGGGAAAATACCTGACAAAAGAAAGAAGCGTTTATTGTGGCTCACAGTTTGAGGATGCCATCCACCATAGAGGGAAGGCATGGTGGCAGGAGCGTGAGGCAGCTGGTCACATGGCATCCACAGTCAGGAAGCAGAGAGAGAAGAATGCTGGTGCTCAGCTCGCTTTCTCCTTTTTATATAGTCCAGGACTCCAAGCCAGGGAATGATGCCACACATTCAGAGTATGTCTTCCTACATCAATCTAGAAATTCCCTCACAGATATGCCCAGAGGTTTGTATCCTAGTGATTCTGGATTCTAAATCTATCCTGTCTAAGTTGACAACATTAATTATCATAGAAACCAAGAATAAACTTGAATAAATATATCCAAACGAGACCGTTGAATAATAATAGTTTATCTAGTCTGGGATGGAGCTTCTAAATCCTTGGGGTATCCTAAATGTGTGGCTGCCCTTGTTCTTCATGTGGGCCTCTGGGGTCAGAGCTGAGTGTCTTCTTATGAGGTTACTTCTCTGGGTTATCGGCCCAATCTCTGACCTCTGAGGGATGGAGGGAGGTCAGAGATGGTTCAGTCACATGCCAAGGATTCAGCTAATCATGAAATCTCACAACAACTCTGGAGCTGGAGGCTCTGTTGAGCCTCCTTGGCTGATATCAACAGGTGAGATGAAGAATATCAGGAATCTTAGGTCTGGGACCTTCCAGGTCTTGCCTTAGGCATCTTGCCCTACATATACATGACCGTGTCTGTCTTTACCTGGAGCATGCACATAGGCCATCCTAGACATGCAGATTCAGATGTGTCTCAACTCCCTGGCTCCTCATTGGTTGGGTTATGGTTTTTCTCATTTATAAGAAAATTGTCATAACCATCACTCCATGTATAGAATCTGGAGCTGAGAGTGTAGGAGGGACCCTGAGTTGTAGCCAGCTGGTCAGACTCATGGGCTGTAGTGTGCCTGAAGTGTGGAGTTGTTCTGGGAACTACACCCTTGTCTTATGGGGTCTGTACTGATTCTAATTAGTGTCCAACTTCTACGCAAAGATGTTCCTGATAACAGAAGGTTTTTCCAACACAAGTGCACATGGACCAAGCCTCAGAGGCAGTCCCATACACATAGGATGAGACACCCTGGGAACTCAAATGTGACATTTTAAATTATATTCATTCATTCATTCATTCATTCACTCATTCATTCATTCATTCGTTCATTTCATGTGACATTTTAAATTATATTCATTCATTCATTCATTCATTCATTCACTCATTCATTCATTCATTCGTTCATTTATTGCATGTGTGCACACACCAGTGCATGCACTAAGTGCACAAGTGGAGGTCGGAGGACAGTTTCAGTTCTCTCTTTCTACATGTAGGTCCAAGGGATTGAGCTCAGGTCATCAGGCTTGGCAGTAAATGCCTTTACCCACAGAACCA